ATCAGAGCAATCAGGCAAGAAGAAGAAATAAAGGGTATCCAAATTGGAAAAGAAGAAATCAAACTAACTGTATGCTGATGATATGATCTTAAACCTAGAGAATCCTAAAGATTTCTCCAAAAGACTCCTGGACTTAATAAATGAATTTGGTAAAGTTTAGGATACAAAATCAACAACACAAATCAGTAGCACTGCTATACACCAATAGCGACCAGCTGAGAATCAAATCAGTAAATCAATTTCATTGACAACAACAGCCAAAAAGCTATAATACCTAGGAATATATTTAACCAAGGAGGAGAAAGATCTCTAAAGGAGAACTATAAAACTCTGATGAAATAAATCGTAGAGGACACAAACAAATGGAGAAACATCCTGTGTTCATGGATCAGAAGAATCAACATAGTTAAAATGACCATATTACCCAAAGTAATCTACAGATTCAATGCAACCCTATCAAACTACCAATGTCATTTTTCACAGAATGAGAAAAAGCAATCCTAAAATTTACATAGAGCCCCAAAAAGAACCAGGATAGCCAAACAATCTTAAGCAAAAATAACAAAACTGGAGGCATCACATTACCTGACTTCAAACTATACCACAAGCCTATAGTAACCCAAACAGCATGGTACTGGTATGAGGGCAGACACATGGACCAATGGAAAGGTACAGAGAATCCAGAAACAAACCCAAATATCTACAACCAACTGATCTTTGACAAAGCAGACAAAAACATACACTAGAAAAAGGACATCTGATTCAATAAATGGTGCTAGGAAAATTGGATAGCTACATGCAGAAAAAATGAAACTTGATCCCTATCTCTTCCCATATGCAAAAACTAACTCAAGATAGATTAAAGATTTAAACATCAGACCTGAAACCATAAACGTCCTAAAAGAAAGCCTAGGAAAAACTCTTATGGACAAAGGACTAAGCAAAGAATTTATGGCTAAAATCCCGAAAGCAAATGCAACAAAAACAAAAACAAACAAGTGGGATTTAAACTAAAAACTTTCTGCACAGCAAAAGAAATAATCAACAGAGCAAACAGGCAACCTACAGAATGGGAGAAGATATTTGCAAACTATACCTCTGACAAAGGACTAATATCCAGAATCCACAAAGAACTCAAACACATTAGCAAGAAAAAAAGCAAATAATTCCACTAAAAAGGGAGCAAACAACATGAACAGACATCTCTCAAAAGAAGATACACAAATGGCCAGCAAGCGTATGAGAAAATACTCAACAGCACTCATCATCAGGGAAATGCAAATTAAAACCACACTGAGATACCACCTGACACCAATCAGAAGGGCCACTGTTAAAACAAAAAACAAAAAACAATAGATGCTGTTGCAGATGCAGAGAAAAGGGAACACTTATACACTGTTGGTGGGAGTGTAATTTGTACAACCTCTGTGGAAAGCAGTGAGGAGATTCCTCGGAGAACTGAATGTAGAACTTTTTTTCTGCCATTTGATCCAGCAATCCCACTAGGTATCTACCCTAAGGAACAGAGGTTGTTAGATCAAAAAGACACCTGCAGTCGCATGTTCATCACAGCACAATTCACAATTGCAAAGAGGTGGAATCAACCTAAATGCCCACCAACCCATCCATGGATAATGAAAATGTGTGACATACACACCATGGAATACTAGGCAGCCATCAAAAAGAATGAAATAATGTCTTTTGCAGCAACTTGGATGGAATCAGAGCAAACTCAGGAACAAAAAGCCAAACACCACATGTTTTCACTCACAGGTGAAGCTAAGCTAAGGATGTACAAAGACATAGGGAGTGGTACAACGGACACTGGAGGCTCAGAAAGGGACGGATGGAAGCAATGGAGGGACAAAAAAGAATCACCTAAGTGTACAGCATGCACAGGTGGGGGTGGTGGGTGCTATTAAAGCCAGGCCAAAGACTCTTTGTATCCCCAAAGCTACTGAAATTTAAAAAAATCAAACAAACCAAAACAACGACATTTAAAAAAACAAAGAAACTAACCAGTCCAGCTCTTGCTTTCTGGCAAGACCCTGTCTAATCATTTTTAAATGGCAGACACTCATGTTTTTCTTTGAAAATAGGGTTGGGAAGAGGATTCTGAGAAGACGACAGAATAGGAAGACTAGGAATTGGGCCTCCCACCTAGACAACAACTGTGTTGACAAAAATCAGTCTGCTGTAACTCTCTGAACTCCGGACCCTATGTGGAGGCCTCTGAATTTCAGGGGAAGGCTCAGATGGGAAGGCTGATCCGGTTCATTTCAGCCTGAGGGCAAGCATGTGTTCCTAGAGCAGCTTGCATGTAGCTTCTGGGAGTCCGGGTGGGCAATAAGGACCTTGTCTCCCCAAAACTGTGCTGGCTGCTTCTGATCTTACGTAGCGTAGACATACAGGAGAGCAGCCTCTGTGGCACCACTCCCTGCATGGTTGCAAGCTTTTTTCTTTCCAGCTAAAACAACTTCCAAGGGATTTAAAGAGCCACCACTGCACCCCACTCCATTTTACTGAACTCTTTTTTCCCGTTGTGAGCCAGACATCTAAAATCTAGGGCATTCAAAAGCAACCACAAATATGGGGGAATTTAGAAAGTCATCATGCCATGCCCAGGGAAAGAGGCAGACTTTAAAAGACCCAAGAAGACCTTAAGTTCATACCTCCTGCTAATCTCCAGGAAAGACACAGTCTACAACAATCAAAACACAAAAACAGGAACACCAATCAACAAGCCCTGGGAAAGGAGGAGAATCTGATTTCCAGCGTTACTACATTATTAGATTCATATGCCCAGCTATCAACAGCAACAACAAAAATCACAAGGCATACAAAGAAATAGGAAAGAACAGCCCAAAGTAAATCAACAAAAACAGTCCTAGAAGACAGACTTGCCAGAGACTTTACAACAACTGTCTTAAAGATGATCAAAAAACCAAAGGAAGATATGGAGAAAAAATCAAGAAAACAATGTATAGATGGAAAGACCAATAAAAAGATAAGAAACCTAAAAAGAAACTGAAAATAAATTCTGTAACAAAAAGTACAAAACTGAAATTAAAAATTCACTAAAGGGATTCAAAGGCAGATTTGAGCAGAAGAAAGAGTCTGTGAATAAAGATAGGGCAACTGAGACAGTCAAGCCTGAGGAATACAAAGAAAAAGACTGAAGTAAAGTGAACAGAGCTCAGGAGACACATGGGACACCATCAAGTGGACCAACATAAGCATCATGGGAGTTCCAGAGGGAGGAGAAAAACAGAAAGAGGCAGAGAGTTTAGTCAAATAAATAATGGCTGAAAATTCCCCAAATTCGATGAAAGACACAAATATAAACCTCCAAGAAGCTCAATGAACACAGTTAGGATGGATTCAGAGATCCACACTGAGACACATTGTAATTAGTAAAGTCAAAAACTGCAAAAGCATCAAGAGAGAAGCAACTCATCACATGCTAGGAATTCTCAGTAAGGTTATCAACAGATATCAGAAACTTCGGAGGCCAGAAGGCAGTGAGCTGCTCCTATTCCCCGAATGGATTTTAAAAAGCACTATCCAAGGCCAGGCACAGTGGCTCATGTCTATAATCCCAGCACTCTGTGAGGCTGAGGTGGGTGGACTGCTTAAGCCCAGGAGTTCAAGACTAGCCTGGGGAACATAGCAAAATCTTGTCTCTAAAAAAAAAAATAAATTAGGTGGGTGAGGTGGTGTGTGCCTATAGTCCCAGCTAATCATGATGCTGAGGTAGAAGGAACCAGGAGGTCAAGGCTGCTGTGAGCCATGATCCACTGCACTCCAGCCTGGGTGACAGTGTGAGACCCCAACCCAATAAAGAAAAATATAAATAAAAATAAAAAGCACTATCCAGATTTATGCTGTCTACAAGGGACTCACATTAGATCTAGACACACAAAGATTGCAAGTGGAAGAATGGAAAAGGATAATATATGCAAACAGTAACCAAATAACAATAATAAATAACCTGGTCACAAAAAGGCAAACAGTGCCTGGTTCCACTCCCATGGGGTACACAGAGCAGTCAAATTCAGAGACAAAAAGTAGAATGGTGACTGCAAGGGTTGAGGGAAGAGAAGTGGGAAGTTACTGTTTAATGGGCAGAAAGTTTCAGTTTTGCAAAATTAAGAGTCCTGGAGATGGATGTGGTAATGGCTGTACACTGTGAATGTACTTAATACCACTGAACTGTACACTTAAAAATAATTAAGAAGCTAAATTCTATGTTATATGCACTATTCTACAATAAAAACATTATTTGGTTTTAAAAGGGAGGGTAGGGAAGGATTTCAATGATTTGTTTATATCACAAGCCTTAATATCTTACTTTTTTGGATTCTTAACTGTATACTCTTGTTATAATCTTTAACTTGACTCTTACTCTCCCACATCTTGATACTTGTGGGAATAAAAATCTCATTACTAGTGCAACCGTCACTAAACTACAGCTGCCACTATCACCATTGGCTGGGGCCACTGGCTAAACCAACGCTTTACTATTCCGGCTATTCACAGATGAGCTCATTGGGAAGATCTAACAACAAAAGATCACTTGGGTCCCCTAAAGTTCCTTCCTGGTGTGAGCATTACCTATGGTGTAAATCTTACACCTTGAATTTTAACTCTTTAAACATGCAGGCATATTTGACATGCATGTATCTCTTGTACCTCTCCTTCCCAGTCAATCACACATCAAAGCAAGTGTCTTTAGGCTTTGATGCCTTATACATTTCAACTGGTGGAAGAAAGAAACCACGAGGCAGAAAGACCTATATGCAAAATGCAATGAACTGCACAACCTTATACTATAATTATTTAACATCTGTAATCATTTAACATCTGTATATCTTAGTTTGTTATTCACTGGCAAAGTAGGGATTCTAGCACCCACCACAGAGGTAAATTGTGAGGATTAAAATTTTGAGTAGGGTCATGCCAGAACACTAATGTATGACAGCTGTTATTGTTGTGCTTACTTGAGTGTCTATTTCTTGAGGAATAGTCTGCCTTTGAATCCAAGTATACACGTTGGCCAGCTCCTCCATTTGTCCATGAGAAAACTGGGGCTGTTGGTGCCTCATGCTTTCTAGCTTTCTGAGGTCTTCTTTTAGTACAACTTCTTTAATCCTGAAAACAAACAAGCTCTTAGTAGTGCCAAGCTTCTGTTAGTGCCACTTAGAAATTGCACTTCTAGCCGGGCTCGGTGGCTCAGCCTGTAATCCCATGCTTTGGGAGGCTGAGGTGAGTGGATTGCCTGAGCCCGCGGGTTCGAGACCCACCTGGGCAACTTGGCAAGACCTCATCTCTACAATAAATCAAAAAAATCAGCCGGGCGTGGTAGCACGTGCCTGTAATTCCGGCTACTTGGAAGGCTGAGGCGGAAGGATTGTCGGAGCCCAGCAGGCGAGGCTGCGGTGGCTGGAAGCGGCCACTGCACTCCAGTCTGGGCAACTGAGTGGGACTCCAACTCAAAAAAAAACAAACAAAAAAACAAAAAACTGTTTTGAGTAGTAAAAAAGCATCTTGATAGGTGTAATGCATCAAAGTGTACTTTGAAGGTGACTGAAGTTTAAACATGTAAGAATAAATATGCAATTTTTTATAACTAAATTCTGGCTTTTTTGGGTTCCCCCTCAGATGTGTCACTATCACAATAATACTTGGTTTAAGAAATCATGCATCACTTGACTTCAAAGGAATGGATTTGAAAATATGTTTCTCTAAGGTATTATTAAACCTTTAAAAATAATTTTGCAGTAAAAGCACATTCAGAAACTACAAAAATATATAAAAGGTGGGTCTTCTGAAGTGCTTTCTTACCTCTCAGGTACCTGATACGTCATTAGAATGCACTCAGGTGTTTGTTGAATCATTCTCCAAATAGATTCTTCAGCTAAATTGGGAAATGTTTCTTTATTCTGTACATGCCGAGATTGCTGCCCATTCTGGCAGATTTCAGAAGAATAATCACTATTTGCCAAGTATATACTGCTGTCACTGCTTCCTATAAAAAATCAACAACAAATAATTATAAAATACCCATCAGAGACCAGCTTGCCAAACCGGCTCTTATTCTTCAAAGACTCCAGCAACCACAGACAGCTCAGCCACTGTCTCCAGGTAACTTCACAGTTAATGGACAACCTTCCAGTTAATTGATCTTCCCAAGATCTTGTTTTCCATTCCTCACGAGCTACTTACTCTCAAGGCCACACACTGTTCCTTGTTATTAATCAACCATAGCTGTTTCATTTACAAAATCACTAACATCTCAGCTTCAGTTTCTCATTTGCTCGTCCAACTGTTTCAGCCAACATGATGTGAACAGTGTCTTACTGTTTCTCAGTTCTTTCATTTTTCAGCTTAGAGGACAGAGTTCATCATTCACTAACACACCTTGCAATACCTTAGACCTCCTCCTCCCTCGGACTTCTCACAATTATCAAAACGTCAACTCCAATAAAGTCCATTAATGACTGTTCTTACCTAAACCTACAAAGCCAAACACATGGAGAAAGCACACATACCAGGTAGTGCTCTTCAATAAATCCATCATCATCAGCCTCAAAAGGACCATCAAAATGCCTGGAAATTCTGCTATACTACTCTGGTCAGTGCACTAACCAACCCCAGCAGTGATTGTTTTTAACTTCTCTATGTCCTCCCTTCACTTTCACCATTTTATAAGACAGAGAAAAAAGAAGCCATTAGAAAGAAAATTCATTATCTTCCCAATACCAAACATATAAAATTAATCGCAGGTGCACCCCCCCCCCCACCCTCCTCCTGCTAACTAGGGAAGCCATTCATCCCAAGGCCATCTCTTTATGGCTGCTATGGAGCTGTATAGGTCCTTCCTTTCTTAGCCTGCATTTGATTCTTCTAGATCCTCTTTCTGACTTTGAAAGAATTAAAAACACAAAACAAAAATTCTCACCCAATTTTTTAAAAAGTATCTGAATAAAGACAATTTTTTTCCTAATTGGAAACTCTCTTTAAAAGGTTATTGACTGTTTAAAGCAAAAATAATAACAATGCATGATTAAAAAAATAGTGAGGGGAAAATGTAAGTATTCTGTTTTAGGGTTCTAATAAGTAAAGGAATATAATAGGTATAATATTTGGAGGTAAACTGTGATAAGTAAAAAATGTACATCATAAATCCTAGAGTAGCAATCAAAAGAAAAAGAGAGCAAGAAGAAGAAAAAAAAGAAGAGGTATGCCTGAGAAAACAATGCTGGAGAGAAACTGAAATAATAAAAAACACACAATTAACCCAAAAGGAGGAGGGAAGAAAAAAAGAAAGGGCATCTGAGACAAACTAAAAATAAACAGCAAGATGGAAGATTTAATTTAAATCTAGCCACCTCAAGATCACACTGAATGTAAATGCTCTAAGCAAGCACTCCAATTAAAAGGCAGAGACTATCAAATGAATAAAAAGCAGTACACTAGAGGTAGATACTGGTTATAAGAAATTCACTTTAAATATAAAGACATAGATAAGTTAAAAGGAAAAGGATGGAAAAAATATACCAGGTAAACGCTAATCAAAATAAAGCTGGACTGGATACACTAATATCAGACAAAAGTAGATGTCAAAGCAAGATATATTTCAAGGAATCAATTCATCAAAAAGATATAATAATCTTAAATGTGTACGCACTTAATGAAAGAATTTTAAAATATATGAAATAAAAACTCATTGAACTGCAAGAAGAAACACACAAATCTGCAATTATTTTTGGACACTTGAAGCCCTATCACAAAGTACAAAACAGAGAGAAAAATCAGTTAAAGATACAGAAGGAGCCGGGTTCGGTGGCTCAGCCTGTAATCCTGCGTCTTTGGGAGGCTGAGGTGAGTGGATTGCCTGAGCCCGCGGGTTCGAGACCCGCCTGGGCAGCGAGACCTCATCTCTACAATAAATAAAAAAATCAGTCAGGCATGGTAGCGCATGCCTGTAATTCCGGCTACTTGGAAGGCTGAGGCGGAAGGATCGCCGGAGCCCAGCAGGTCGAGCCTGTGGTGGCTGGGAGCGGCCACTGCACTCCAGTCTGGGCGACAGAGTGAGACTCCAACTCAAAAAAAAAAAAAAAAAAAAAGATACAGAAGTCTGAATCAACATCATCAACTAACTAGACCTAATTCATGTTTACAGAACACATGGCTCAACAACAGCAGAACACATATTCTTTTCAAGTGCACATGAAACATTTATCAAGACAGATCAAATTCTGCAATATTACACAGTCTCAGTAAATTTAAAAATACAAAAAGTGTTCTCTACATTTAAATTAGAAATCAATAAAATAAAAATATGTTGAAAATCTCCAAATATAAGAAAATTAAACATCTTTCCAAATAAACCCAAAATTAAAGAAGAAAACACAAGGAAAATCAGAACTGTTTTAGACTGAAAAGAAATAAAACATAACATGTCAATATTTGAGGAATTCGGCTAAACCAGTACTTGAGTATGTAATAGCATTAGAAAGAAAAGGTCGCCAATCAATGATTTAAGGCTCCATCTTAAATGAGAAAAAGAGCAAACAAAATCCATAGTAAACAGAAAAGAGGTATAATATAAATTAGAGCATAAGTTGAAAAAAACAGAAAAAAATGAAATCGAAAGTTGCTTTTTTGAAAAGTGTTAAAATTGATGAACATAGACTAAGCAAGGAAAAATTGCTACTTACTATACAGACCCTACAGACATTAAAAGGATACGGGACTCTTATAAAAAAACATTACACCAATAAACTCAATAAATTAAACAGATAAATTCCTTAAAAGATACACACTACCAAAGATTATTCAATAAGAATCAGGTAGCCTGACTGACATATATCCAGTAAACACTTAAATTTATTGTCAAAATCCTTCCTATCGATAAAACTCCAGGCCCAGAACTATTTGTTGATGAATTCTACCAATATATAAAGAATAAATAATATCAGTACAAACTCTTCCAGAAAACAGAAGAGGAAGCAACAATTCCCAACTCATTTTTTTGAGGCCAATATTGTGCCCTTGTACCAAAACCAAAGACATTGCTAGAAAAGAAAGCAATGGGCCAAAAGTCTACACAACAGGTACAATAATTGGTATCAAAATATTAGGAAGATAACCCAACAATTCAAAAAAGGGATAAGAGAGTATGGTCAAATGCGAGGTTGATTTATTATTTTGAAATTAATGTAATTTACCCTACTAACAGAGTAAGGGAGAAAAACCACATGATTATCTCAATAGAGGTAGAAAAAAATCTCAGTAAACTAGCAATAGAAAGAAACTTCCTCAATCTAAAGACATTCAAGGAAAACTTACATCTAACACTATATGTAATGATAAAACACTGCTTTCCCCTTAAGACTGTGAAGAAGGCAGAAAAGTAAATGTCTGCTTCAATATTTCTACTCAGCATCGTATTGGGGTCCTAGCTAGTTCAATGAGGAAGACAAACACACACAAATGGAAAAAGAAATAAGTAAAACTGTATTTGCGACAATAATACTGTATAAAAAAGTCCTATGGAATCTATAAAAGAGCTACTAAAACTAATAAGTGAGTTTAGCAAGATTGCACAATACAAGTTCAAAATACAAAATCTGATTGGATTTCTATATACTAATAATAAATAATTAGAAATCAAAATTTTAAAATGCCATTTGCACCAGTATCAACCATTATAAAATCTTCAGAGATAAATTTAGCAAAATATGTGTAAGACTTGTATGCTGAAAACTATAAAACATTGCTGAGAAGAATTAAAGACCTACACACTATGCTTGGGAATCAGAAGACTCAATATAGTTAGGAAAATAATTCTTCCAAAACTTATCTACAGACTCAACACAATTCCACTCAAAATAACTAGCACACTTTTTAAAAAAACAGAAACCGATTCTGTAATTTATATGGGAAAATGACCCAGAATATTCAATATCATTTTGAAAAGAAGAATGAAGTTGGAAGGCTTACCTCATCAGATTTCAAGACTTACTTGAAAGCTACCTATCTCAAAAGAGCGTGGCATCAGTCTAAAGCTAGCCATACAAATCAAAGAAACAGCAAAGGAGTTCAGAAATAGACCCATACATATATGGCCAATTTATTTTCAACAAAGGTGCCAACGTAATTCAATGGGGACAGATTAATCCTTTGAACAAATGGAGCAGAAACAATTGGAAATCTGTATGCAAAGGAAGCATATAGACTTTTACCTCACACCATATATAAAAACTCAAAATGGATCACAAGCCTAAGCTATACAAGTTAAATCTATACAACTTGCAAGAGAAAACAGGAGACCAGCTTAGTGACTTTTGGTTAGGCAAAGCTATCTTTAAAATGACACAAAAAGCATGACCTATAAAAGAAAAAAAAATCAGTTAAGTTGAACTTCATCAAAATAAAAAAACATTTTTTTCTCTTCAGAAGAACCTGCTAATATAATGAAAAGGGAGGACATTTTTGCAAAACAAATAACTGATAAAGGATTTGTGTTTAGAATATATACAGAACTCTTACTACTCAATTAAAAAAAAAACAATTTTTAAAATGTGCAAGAGGTTTGAACAGATACCACCAAAGAAGACACACAGATGGCAAAACAGTACACGAAAAGATACACAACATTATTAGTCAATAGACAAATTCAAATTAAAGCCACAACGAGATATTATTACACAATCACTGGAACTAATAAGAGTAAAATGGTGGACAATAAATACCCAGTGTTGGCTAGGATGTGTTGCAAATAGGAGCTCATCCACAGCAGACAGAATGTAAAATGGTACAGTTACTTGGAAAACAGTTTGGGAGTTTCTAATAAAGTTAACCATATGCTTACAACATGATCTAGCAATTCTATTCTGAGGTATTTACCCGAAGGAAATGAAACCACATACCCACAAAAAGACTCATACTAGAATGTTTCTAGCATTATTCAAAAAAATCTGAAACTAGAAACAACCCAATAACCATCAACTGGCGAATGCATACCTATCTATACAACGTAATTCTTGCCAGCAACAAAAAGGAACAATCTACGGAGACACACAATAAGGATGAATCTCAACAGCATTATGTTCCTATCTAATACAAAAGACTGTATACTGTCTGACTAAATACATGAGATTACAAAAAAAGCAAAACTAAAGTGGCAGAAAGCAAATCAGTAGATGTTAGGGCCCAAAGGGATCAGGGCAGAGAATAACTGAAAGGGTCACAGAACTTTTGGGGGCGATTCAATTGTTTATAGGGTGACTGTGGTGGTGATTACATGCATCTGTCAGAACCGTTGTTTTGTACACCTAAAACTGGTGAATTTTATTATACATAACTATACCCAAATAAAGCTGATAAAAAGGAACACAACCCTATTTTACTTCTATACCTGCCCAGTGTGCCCAGTGATCACCTGGCAATTACAGAGTCTGGGGAAATGGCTATTCTGATCCATTACCTGATGCTGCAGAACCAGTTCCAGATGGAGACTCTTTGTGAAGTAACACCATGGACAGTTCACTGGCAGTAGGACAACTTTTCTTATTTCCTCTGTGGCCTGTAACACATTGCTAGAAAGTAGGAACACAAGAAAAGACACTTTAACGTTAACATCTCAATCATCTTATTACAAAATACAGTAGTTTCCCTTTATTTGTGGCTTGATTTTGCAGTTTCAGTTACCGGTCAAAATAGTAAATGGAAAATTCCAGAAATAAACAATTAACAAGTGTTAAACTGCATGTCCCGTCCAGCCTGGGACAGAATTGTCCTTTTGCCCAGCATCTCCATGCTGTGTATGTTAGCCACTTAGCAGTTGTCTGGGTTACCATATCAACTGTAGCAGCATTTGCAATTCTTGTGCTCAAGTCACCCTTATTTTACTTAATAATGGTTCTAAAGTACAAGAGGAGATTTGCCCATTTGTCAAGTGAGAAGCCATAAAGCACTTCAGTTAGGTGAAAAGGTAAAAGTCCTCAACTTAATTAGAAAAAAAAAACTGTATGCTTGGGTTGCTAACATCTTCCATAAGAATGAATTTTCTATCTGTGATACTGTGAACAGTATATTGTTCTAATTATTCTATTTTACTATTAGTTATTGGTGTTAATCTCTTACTGTGTTTACTTTATAAATTAACCTTTACCATAGGCATGTATCTATAGAAAAAAAACATCCTGCTATAGGGTTTGGTACCATCCATGGTTTCAGGCATCCACTGAGGGGTTTGGAACATATCCCCTGTAGATAAAGGGGGACTATGTAACCGACAGATCTTCAACTTCACATGTCAAGCAGAATGAAATTTATATGACTGAAAAATAAAGTTTTCAGCCTGTTCCTTTTGTATATGATATCAAAGCTATTACTGCTCCCTGAGACCCTACCACAACCCAGGCATCACATGTGTATGCTTTAATTTTTTTCTTGTCATGAAACAAATCCATAGTGAACATTTCATATGTTCTAAGCACTGTTCCAAATACCAGGAACACAATAAGAAAAAACCAAGTTCCAGCTCTCCTGGGTCTTCTACGGCACAGAGAACTATCTATACACTATACCACTTATTCCTCAGAGTTAGCTATGAAGGATTCATCTTTCCATCTTTCTAAGAAGGAAACAAAGACAAAGAAAGGTTAAACAACTCATGCTACCCACTAACTCATGACAGAGCTGGGATCTGAACCTGCATCTGAGCCCACAGCCCAGGCTTTGCTCACTGTGACACACTGCCTTCCTTGCCTTAGTGTTAGCAAGTGCACTCATATCAGGCTTTCCACAGACAGCTAATTTCACTGATTTGGATCACCAGATTTCAAGATCTGTTAAAGAAAGGTATTATAACTTGAAGGGAAGACCAAAGAAAAAATTGTGTAAACAGTCACACTTGTCAGTTGGGTGTGGTGGCGCACACCTATAATCCCAGCACTTTGGGAGACTGAGGCAGGAAGATAGCTTGAGCTCAGGAGTTTGAGACCAGCAACATAGCGAAACTTCGTCTCTATAAAAAAAATCAAAAAATTAGCCAGTCGTGGTGGTGTGTGCCTGAGATGCTGAGGTGGAAGGATCACTTGAGCCCAAGAGGTCAAGGCTGCCATGACCCGTGATCATTGTGATCAAGCCACCACACTCCAGCCTGGGGAGAGTGAGACTCTGATTAAAAAAAAAAAGAAAAGTTCACACTTGTCTTGGATTCTGTACCTAAGAAGGGAAGTCTAGCCTGATAAATATATCTGAGAATTGTTTTTTTAGATAAAATGATGAAAAGTTAAAGGACACTGGTCAAAACATTTTTACGACAAACTGTTTAAGTGTGAAACGATAAACTGTTCTGCTCTCTTCATACATGCCTGTAGCCCCTCATCTGCGCCTGAAAAAGCACGGTCGCCAAATTCCCATCTTGTCCTTGTGATTTATTCCCATCTTCCCAGACCAGAACCCCAGTTACAAGAAAGAAAATACATTTTATGTCAATGAACATAGCAAGTGTAATACCTGGATACCAAATTTTAAAGGGTGGAAGGAACCTAGTTCACATGGAAAACTTGAAAGCAGTTTGGGAAAAACCTCACCAAGTATCTAAGAAACTAGAGCATAGAAGATTCTTTCCTTTCTGCTTCTGCAGTCAGGGAGCAGTTTCCTGTTCACATCGACTGAGGCTTGTGGTTTCCTCACAGCACGAATGCAGGTCATTCACTTAGGCTGTCAGTGCTGAGCCCTGACGCAGCCACCTGAATCTTAATAAGATATTTAATTTCTCACTTGTGTGTGGAAAATTAACATTACTTACATACTTAGCTTCTGGGCAGATACTCTTTTTCATCTGATCTGAAGCCTCAGAAGACCTGGGCATTTCTTCCTGAAGCAGATCTAGCTGTAAGGGTGAGTTGCTCCTGGACGTGACCAGTGGGCACTCTGCACTCTGCATCTCCCACTTCTCCTCCCTGTTCCTCTGGGTGGTGGCTGAACGTGGTGGGTCTAGGCTTGGAGCCACTGCTGACACTGAGGGTGGTGCGGCAGAAGAGCCTGCAGCTCCCAAGGATGGGCATGGAAAGAATGACGGAGACAACAGTGGACAGTCAGGCAGGAAAACGGTTATAAAAGGGTCCACGGAAGGAGAAGGGAAACCCGGAAAAGACTGCAAGCCACTGGATAAAGGCGGTTTAGGCAGACGTTCTTGGACAGTTTCTGAGGTTGCATATTCTCTCTCCAGAGAGGTCATGCCTGGGAGGGGAAGAGCTGGGGTGAGATAAGGGGCCTGGCTGGGAACCATTATGTCAGATGGGAACGTCAGGCCCGAGGTGTGAGGGGAGGAGGCCAAGGAAGGGCCCCAGGGTCGTGCGTCCTGAAGCACCCCTCTGATGCGGAAGCCGGGGTTGACACTGGGGCCCCTGCTGTTCAAGGGCACAGGCAGCTTCTTCCGCTTGTGTTTCTCTTTCTTGCAACCAGCTGATCTCGTCTGCTTAGAAGCAGAATCTCCTGAAAAGATAAAGATGGAGGCATATTGTGGAAAATTAAACCCCCCAAAGAAGAGAAGGATCCTGTTTACAGGGAGTTGTAAGTAGACTACAAAGAAACACACATTTGCCAATACACCAGAATAGAAAAATGTAGCTCTAAGAAGATGAGCAAAATTCTGGATAAGAACAGTTGCTATAAAATAAACATTCCAGCATCTCAAAGTTGGAGTCTCACTCTGTCGCCCAGACTGGAATGTAGTGACCGCTCCCGGCCACCGCAACCTCGACCCGCTGGCCTCTGGCGATCCTTCTGCCTCAGCCTTCCAAGTAGCCGGAATTACAGGCATGCGCTACCACACCCGGCTGATTTTTTGATTTATTGTAGAGATGGGGTCTCGCTGCCCAGGCGGGTCTTGAACCCACAGGCTCAGGCAATCCACTCACCTCAGCCTCCCAAAGGTGCGGGATTACAGGCTGAGCCACTGAGCCCGGCTCTCAATCAATTTCTTGTAAAAACCAGTTCCTCAGACCTAGATCGAAGGGATACCCTAGCTAAACTGTTGCTATAAACGGATTTATTCAGCATTCAACCAGTTTCTTACAAGCAAAACTCCTACTGCTCACTCCTTATCTACTAGTACTGATATGATTTGTAACAACTACGCAGATTAATGGCATATATTTTAAAAACTTTACCTACCTTCAACTTGTGAATATTTAGCTTTGCTTCTGCTTTCTTGCTGAAGATAGGTGCTGTAGGGTGATGACAAAATCTTTTCTCGGAATTTATCAACGTAATGCTGTTCCTCCTGCTGGGTGTGGGCTGACAGAACAGCCTTTGTGAGCCCTACATGTTTAAACTCTGCCAAGGCCAAAGGAGCTGGTTGTGTGCTTAGGGTCCAGGGCTCACATGCTAGGGTGGCATCCTCTGCTGAGAAGGAAGAAGACATACTGGATTTTAATTCCTATCAATTATTATTTCTTAATTTATTTTTACTTTTTAAATTGCCTTCCAATACATTTTTTAACAAGCATTACTGTAACTGCTGGAATACAAAAACACTTCAACAGTCTAGCATAAAAATTCTTATTTTTCTGTTTCCCTTTATAGTCTTTTACAAATGCATATACATTATACATAGCTATAATAATCAGTATGCATATATTACTTAAACATTGCTTTTATTGTAAATATTTTTTTATCATCCTGAATTCTCCAACATTTCATCTTATTTATTTATTTATTTATTTATTTATTTTTGAGTTGGAGTCTCACTCTGTCGCCCACACTGGAGTGCAGTGGCTGCTCCCGGCCACTGCAGCCTCGACCTGCTGGGCTCCAGCGATCCTTCCGCCTTAGCCTTCCAAGTAGCTGGAACTACAGGCACGCGCTACCAACCCGGCTAATTTTTTGATTTATTGTAGAGATGAGGTCTCACCAAGTTGCCCAGGTGGGTCTCGAATCCGCGGGCTCAGGCAATCCACTTACCTCGGCCTCCCAAAGCACAGGATTATAGGCAATATATTCATGTGGTTCAGAAGTCAACAGGTATTAGGAAGTTATTTCGTAAATTCTCCTCCTCCCTGTCCCCCATCTGCCTAATTCTCATTGGATCTCCAACAGGGAACCATTCCTTTAATAAATCTCTCAGTTTCTTCATGCACATATAAATAAGCATGAAGAGAGACTCTTACCTTCCTCCTGACTCCATTTTCACCCAAAAGGCACATATGTACTTTGGCTTGCAACATACTTTTGCCACTTAACAATGCCCCTTGGAGAACTCTAACAGTACATAGTTGTCGCCTACTTTTGTACACTGCAAAGGGTTTCATCTTATGTGTATACCACAGTTTGTGAAAGTAAGCATCTGTGGATGGACTTTTGATTGCTATTTATTATTGCTATTTAACAGCTGTACATTTTTACTTAATTAGGGTCTTTTAATGATATAATTGTACATATTTTTGGGATGCTTCTAAAAAATTACTTTTTCCAAGAACAAAAGATTTTATGGTAGACACCATGGTGGGTTTCCCAACACCCACTGCAGTGCTCCCTGCTGTGTAGTACCCAGGTGGTTGGGGTGGACTTGGCCCCACTCCACTCCCAGAGGGGGGTTCTGATTGGTCTAATCAGCACAGCAGAGGGCTTCTGCTTCTGGTCAAGATAGTACAACAGGGACCATATTTACCTTCCTGCCTGAAATAACTAAAAATAAATGAACAAAATAAAGAAAATGACAGGTTTCAAGGCACTGGACAATCGGTAATGAAGGAGAGTGACTCCTTGTGGACTGGAACCCAGGTGGAATCTAGCGAACTCCCTGAGATGAAGAGACAGACCTCAGTCTGGTGAGAGCAAGGTAGCTAGAGTTTTCAGAAAAGGGAGAGAGGAGAGAGCTGCAAGAAAGAGGACTCCCAAGAGACACAGAGTGTTCAGAAGACTACTCACCATCGTATTCATGTGAGGAAAAAAACCACCTGAAAGGATGAGAGGGAACAGTAACTGAGCACAAGGTTACAGCAGTGCTCATGTCCATCAGCCAGACTAGAAAATCTTGTGACTCGTGTGTCATTGGATAGAGTGTGCTCTGAGTATGCCACATGAAAGCTCTTGCTTCAGCAGCAGGGAAAAGTTAGGTCCTGACTGCACACTGCTCTGGTCTTGCCTAACAAATTGAAAAGCAGAGCCTGAAAGGACCAATCTGTTTCCAGGTAAATTAACTGGGTCTCGGAATAAAGATCAAGAATGTTTATACAAATACAAAAATATTTGGCACCCACTCACAACATGCGGCATCCAATCAAAATTACCAGGCATGCAAAGCAAGAAAATACAAGCAAACAATAAGGAAAAAAAGTCACCGAGAAACTGAGTCTATAATGTATATGGACAAAAGAGCAAAGTTGAAGAATTTCACTACCTGATTTCAAGACTTACTACAGAGCTATTTGAATCATGACCATTCTGCACTGATATAAAAAGTGTATCAATTTTGTTCATCTTTTCAACTTTTTTTTTAACTCATCAACTTTTAACTTTAATTTTCTTTACTGTCTTCTATTTTGTTGCTTTCTGCTTTTATCATATTTCCTTTCCTCTACCTTGGGCTTCCTTTGCTTTTTTTGCTAGCTTCTTAAACTGGACTTTAGATCATTGATTTGAGACTTTTTTTGTCTAACATTAGTATTTAGAACTATTAATTGGCTTATAAACCGTTTTCAGCTGTGCTCCACAGATTTTAGTACGCTGTATTTTCTTTCTTTCTTTCTTTGTTTTTAAGTGAGAAAGCAGGATTTATTGAGAGGACAGAAAAGCTCCTGCAGGGGGAGGGGACCTAAAGGGGTTGCCCATATGCTGTATTTTCATTACCTCTGACTTTGAAATATTTTCTAACTCCCTTTGTGATTTCTTCTTTAAAACACGGATTATTTAGAAGCGTGTTGTTTAATTTCTAAACGTTTGGGTTTAAATATCCTATTACTGAATTTTAATTTAATTCACTCTAGCCAGAGAGCAGTTTATACATCATCAATGCTTTTAAATTGGAGACGCAGACTATAGTCAAACATGTTTTATATCTTAGTTGCTCCCATATTGTGTACACTTGAAAAATGTGTAGTATATAGTTAATGGGTATCATGTTCTTTAAATATCGCTTAGGTCAAGGTGGTTGCCAGTGTTGTTCAGGCCATCTATTTCTTTACTTCGCTGTCAAATACTTTATCAACTGTGGAGAGAAGGGTGTATAATTTTCCAACTATGACTATGGAAAGTATATTTCCCTCTTTAACTCGTCCCAGTTTTGCTTCATATCTTTCAAGGCTCTGTTATTAGCAAATGCATGATTACAACCGTTATGCCTTCTGCTGTCTTATTACGGAATTACTCTGTCTTGGAATTGATCCATTTAATGCATGTTCATAGAGGCATTCCAACCTGCTTATGCCATGGTTTGACCTGTGCATCGCCTTCCATCCATTTACTCTCAACCCATTTGTGAGTTTAAATTGTTGGCTGCAGACAGTATATAGTTGGGTCTTGATTTTTTAATCTGTTCTGATAAATTTTGCCTTTATTTTATTTGTTTATTTATTTAGATTCGGAGTTTCACTCTGTTGCCCACGCTGAGCTCATGGCTACCGCAACCTCAACCTGCTGGGTTCAGATGATCCTTCCGCCTCAGCCTTCTAAGTAGGTGGAACTGCAGGCACAGGGCCATATCTGACTAATTTTTTGATTTGTTGTAGAGGTAAGGTCTCACCATGTTGCCCAGGCTGGTCTTGAACTCCTGGGCTAAGGCAATCCTCTCACCTCTGCCTCCCAAAGTGCTGGGATCACAAGTGTGAGCCACCACACCTAGTAATTTTTGCCTTTTAATTGAAGTGTTTAGTCTAGTTTATGTTATTATTGATATAGCTGCATTTAGAGTTATTATTTTATTATTTGTTTGGTGTGTTTCCTCTGTTTCTTTTTTGTTAACCTATACCTCCTTTCCTGTCTCCTTCTTTTGGATTGAGTGTTTTTTTTTTTTAATTTAATTTTCATTTACTTACTGGCTTTTTAACTAATCTTTGTATCTCACATTCCATCTTAATTAGACCCTGTTAGAGGTTCAAAATATGTTTAATGGCAAAGGTTCCTATAGATCAGTTGTCAATAGCAGATTTCCTACTGTGCTACTCATGTGCTATGCGTGACACTTGGCAAATTAAGTCACGTTACCTGTTTGTGCCTTGTTTCATATATAAAATGAAGATAATAACTTGCACGGAAAAAAGCAACAGACATACAGATATCACAGAGTCTGAGAGCATCTGGGCACTGCTTCTGCTTTTTCTCTTTATTTTTTATTTATTGATTTATTTATTATAAAGATGTGGGGTACAATTCAGGGTTAGGTATACAAACATTGATCATGCAGGTACTCGTTGATGAGGTATGCTTTTTCTCTTTGGAATAAAGATGTGGACTAGTAGATGCTGAGACTGACTTAAGATCAGGAGAAACTAGTATTAGTAAATATTTTTTAAAGCATATCAATTTTAGCATAAATGCACTCAGAATGGTACTATAAGACCAGCTATAAGCATAGTGACATACTTAAAAAAAAAAAAGCTTCCCATATTGGGTGAGACCCTCTCCCTACTTGGTATGGGCTGTGTTATGCACAGCCACATACCCACACAGGGATCCAGAATGTTAAAAAAAGGTACATGGCCAGTCATGGAGGCTCATGCCTGTAATCCCAGCACTTTGAGAGGCTGAGGCAGGACAACTGCTTGAATTCAGGAGTTTGAGACCAGTCTGGGCAACAAAGCTAGACCCTGTCACTACGAAATAAAAATAAAATTAGCCGGGTATGGTAGTTCCAGTTATTTGGAAGGCTGAGGCAGGAGGACAGCCTGAGCCCAGGAGTCTGAGGCTACCATAAGCTATGACTGCATTATTGTACTCTTGCCTGGGAGACAGGGCAAGATCCGGTCTCTGAAAAGAAAAAACAGAAAAGGCACACTAAAAATGTGCATATGCTTCTGTCTTGGCTGGCTAGCTCAGTTCCGATAAAACTCTGTCTTTGGCTAATTATATAAATGCAATGTAATCTCACAACAGTTGGGTCTCTGGTCTTTCCTCACCAATCTACAGTCCTCCTGTAAATACCATATTCTTCATCTCATAAAGTTGTTGGGAGGACTCAATGAGTTAATACCTATGAAGAACTAAGAACATGGAGTGGCACACAGAAATAGCTTAACACGTATTAACTAATACACCACTGAAGACCAGCAAAGATAAATTAGTGGTAATCTGAAAACCCAATTTAACACATTTGTCATCATTTATCTACCAAATTGTTATTAGCAATGAAAAAGTCAAAAGAATAGGAGGCAGTAAAAAGGATTAAAAAGAAGACATTTAGATGAGAATAATTTAAAGTATTCTACTCACTGCCATCAGACCAATACAAAATGTGAAAGTATATGCGGCTGAGCTAGTCACAACTATAGTCAACATAGTTGAAACATAGGTGATATGAACGCCTTTAAAGGTCGGCAACAAAGAAACCTAACACAATCCCATCAAACATTGCATTAACAATGGTTAACACGAGTTGAGGGCTTACTACTAAGTACCTACCAGGTACTGCTCTAAGTGCTTTACACACATCAACTGATTTCACTAACAACGTAACTGAGAAATATGGTCTGAGATGTGTAACCAACATAACCATGATGACATATCTAAAAATACTTTAAGTGAATTAAAGGAACAATGTTTATAATTTAGCAGTTATAGTTAAACAAATAGATTGATGATTTCTGTTTTCTCATCCCAGTGTATTTCCAGTTGAGTACACTTCTCAATTAACAGGTGACTATGGTACCTGACTCGGGGGGTGCGATGTGAACAATGGTGCTGCTGTAACTGCACTGGCTTATGCCTGATCCCAAGCTCAGCGCTGTGGTAGACAGGGTCCATGGAGCTCCTCCTCCAGCATATGAGGACTGTCTGTCTGTTGGCATTTCTGATTTAGGTCTAGCTGGTGACACAAGAGAAACTGACAGTGAAAAGAACAATTCCCAACAGGAAATTTACATTCAAGACCCAAAGTCTACAGAAACTTGTAACTGACAAACCAAAGCCCACTAGCCATAAAGAGGTAATATAAAACTAGGATTCTAGGCCAGGCGTGGTGGCTCACGCCTATAACCCTAAGACTTTAGGAGGCTGAGGTGAAAGGATTGCCTGAGCCCATGGGTTCGAGACCAGCCTGGGCAACTTGGCAAGACCTCATCTCTACAATAACTAAAAAACTAGCTGGTGTGGTAGCACACGCCTGCAGTTCCAGCTACTTGGAAGACTGAGATGGAAGGATTGCCTGAGCCAAGCAGGTGGAGGCTACGGTGGCTGTGAGCGTGCCATTGCACTCCAGCCTGGGCACAGTATGAGACTCTGACTCAAATAAAATAAAGTAAAATAAACAAAATAAAGCAAAAACTAGGATTCTGTGGTACAATGAAATAATAAAAGGTAAGACATTAAAGAGAAACAGAAAAACGATGTGCTGACAGGTCTTTTATTGAACTCGGAAGGCATTCAGGGCACCCACTGCTACCTTGCAATGCTTGGGCATCATCTGCCTTGTGGTGCTGTCTGTCTTCTTCTGAGGATGAAGAAGCTGTATTTGTATAGGACACACACTTTCTTTTCAAAGCTGGAATGTTGTAGCTCTTCAGGTATCTGCAACGACACCATGAGGCCATGGACTCTCACCCGCCCCCTCAGTGTGCACCTCCTACCACTTTGCTTTTCTCTTGCCACATCCATTTGGGACACTTCGAACTTCCTTCTCTAAGGAAGTCTTCCCCAACCATCCTCGCCTCAGTCACTCGACAGTCACATCTTTTTTACTATGGTCTGGAGCTGGTCTTCAAACCTTACCCCATTCGATTTAGGCAAGATTATGTGCTGTGTTCTCAACTATACCCTGGCTCTGAGAAGGAATGCATCTGCTCCTTTTTGGCCCCCTCCATAATGCTCCGTTTATTATGAACTTCACATAGCAGGCACTCCATCAGGAGCTACTGATTTACAGAGGAAAATCAAGGTAAGACAGCTACTAACAGTTCTAGGAAGGCTCCACAGTGACAACGTATGCTCTTGGGAGAAACTAACATCATCAACAGTTGTGTTTCATACCTAATAACACTGTCAATACAGTTTATCTGCTGATAGGATGGGCTATGCTGATCTTTCTTCAAATCGCCACAAGACTCAATGTTCATGCTCTTATTTTTCAATGCTTGGAAGGAAGAAAAGGCTTCTTGCTCATCTGAAACAGAACAGAGGGATGTGCAGTTAAAATATTTAGCATGTAGTTAAGAGTATATACTTATTCAGCAAAACTAAATGATCATATTTTATGGTCTATATATTAATAGACTATTATGTAGCTACTAAAAATGAACTAACCTCTAAATGCACTGTAATAAAGATATCCACAACATAAAAATGTGAGTAAAATAAGCTGCGAGCACATTACACACAGAATGATTACATTTGCATTTTAAAAATTCAGGAGTAGCCGGGCTCAGTGGCTCAGCCTGTAATCCCGCGCCTTGGGAGGCTGAGGTGAGTGGACTGCCTGAGCCCGCGGGTTCGAGACCCGCCTGGGCAACTTGGTGAGACCTCATCTCTACAATAAATAAAAAATTAGCTGGGCGTGGTAGTGCGCGCCTGTAATTCAGGCTCTACTCGGAAGGCTGAGGCGGAAGGATCGCCAGAGTGCAGCAGGTGGAGGCTGCGGTGGCCGGGGCCACTGCACTTCAGTCTGGGCGACAGAGTGAGACTCCAACTCCCTCTCCCCCAAAAAAAGAAGTGCACAGTCTTCCTACATTTGAAATCTGACCATCCCACTCTTAATGCTGCCAGGATTGATTAGTTGTATGGGTAGTGTCAGCTTAACAATGGCAGGTTCCCCGTCAGCCTTTCACTTACAGTTTCCTTCCCTAATAATCTTCACATTTGTCTCACTCCTGAATTTTTCTTCTGCCTCAGCCTTCCAAGTAGCCGGAACTACAGGCGTGCACTACCACATCTGGCTAATTTTTAATTTATTGTAGAGATGAGGTCTCGCCAAGTTGCCCAGGCTGGTCTCTTCTTATATGTTGCAATGTAAACAACACAGAATTACCCATGTGGAATCTGTGCCCAACAGAACTTTCTGTGATGACTGACAAGAATGTTCTTTATTTGAGCTGTTGAGTAGAGTAGTCACTAACATGTAACTATGAAACACCCAGAACCTGGCTAGAGCAATTGAGGAACTGTACTTTTAACTGTATTTAATTTGAATTTAAATTTCCAAGGCTGGTGTGGTGGCTCACGCCTGTAATCTCATCGCTTTGGGATACCAGGGTAGGAGGATCACTTGAGGCTTAGAGTTGGAGACCAGCCTCAGCAAAACAGTGAGATCCCATCTCTACAAAAAAGAAAAATTAAAAAAAAATTAGCTGGGCATGGTGGCACACACATACAGTATGAGCTACTCAAATGGTTGAGACAAGAGGATTGCCTAAGAGCCCAGGAGTTCAATGTTACAGTGAGCTATGACTGCACCACTGCACTCCATCCTGGGCGACAGAGTGAGACTCCATCTCTTAAAAAATAATAATAAAATAAAAATAAATAGATTAAAAAAATAAACTGCCAAATGTGGCAAGGGGTTCCCATAGTGGATAGCACAGATACAGAGAGAAGAAGAAAACCTTCAGGCTTGAACACTGAAGAACTTAAACTTTCTGCAGAAGAGAATGAGCCAATAAAAGAGACTGAGAAAGAGCAGCTGGAAAGGCAAGAGAAGTTATGCAAGGTACGGGCTCACGGTAACCAAGACTGCCAAGATCCTCAAGGAAGGAGATAACTAATTATGCCAAGGATTATTGGGCAGTTTTGTAAGAAATGCTAGATACTGCTGTTACTCATGGAAAGTCATTTTTAGTTGGCTTGGAAGAGGCTTCTCTATTTTCAGAGTGTATTATGGAAAACTGACCAGATTAACTTTTACTAATTATTTTTTAACTTTTAATTTTGAATAATTAGAAAGAATTTTTTTAAAAAGTACAGCAAGGTGCAGTGGCTCACGTCTGTAATCCCAGCACTTGGGGAGGCAGCAGCAAGAGGATCTTTGAGCTCATGGGTTCGAGATCAGCCTGAACAACATAACACGGCAAGACCTTGTCTCTAACAATAAAAATCAAAAAATTAGCTGGGCGTGGTGGCACATGCCTGTGGTTCCAGCTATTTGGAAGGCTAAGGCGGAGGGATCGCCTGAGCCCAGGAGGTCGAAGCTGCGGTGGCCACAAGTGTGCCACTGCACTCCAGCTTAGGTGACAAAATGAGACTCTGACTCAAAAAAAAAAAAAATACACACACACACACGTACACTACAGAGTTCCCATGTGCCTCTCACCCAGCTTCCACTCATGTTAGCACTGCATACAACCATAATAGAATGAACCAAAGTAAGAAATTAACAGTGGTACAATGCTACTAACTGAAATATAGACTTCACTTGTATTTTACCCGTTTACCACTAATTATCATTTTTCCATTCCAAAATCCAAACCAGGCTCTTATACTGATTTTAGTTGTCACATCTCTTTTGATTACTGTCTTACCTTGTCTTTCACGATTTTGACACTTTTGAAGAGTACTTTTGTAGAATGCCCTTCGATTTGAGTTTCTCTGATGTTTTCTCACAATTAGACTGAGGTTCTGCATTTGGGGGGAGAATACCAGAGAGGTGCAGTGCCCTTCTTAGAGCATCATCCCAGACACAGGATGCTAACGTTTATTACCTTGATCACTGGGTTAAAGTGGTGTCTGTCAGTTTTCTCCTGGGTAAAGTTCCCATTTTACAATGTAATAAATACTGTAAACAATACATGTTTTGGAGGACTACCCTGAGATCATGCAAATATCCTGTTTCTCTTAAACTTTCACCCTCTGGTTGCATTAACAACGTAAATGTACTTACTGCCACTGAAGTGGACACTTAAAAATTGTTGAAGTGGTACATTTTATATGTTATGCAACAATCAAAAGACCTTTCATGAAACAGTTTTAACATTTCTGGGGACACTATTTCCTGCTGCCATTATGACTGCAGAATTCTAACAGCAATTTTCTATTTTCCTCATTCCTTCTACATTTATTAAACCTTTTCTATAGAGAAGAGTTTCTCTTCTACCTTTTCTTGTTTCATTAATTCACTCATTTTGACAGTTATGAACTCATGGGTATTTGTTGGATTATAGTCCAATACTATATCATTTATTTTGTTGCTCAAATTGTTCCAGTTGGGGCTTAAGGAGCTCTTTTGACTTGTCCTGTGGCCTTCTGGCATGCCATCTTCACTTTTGAGGGGAAGGCGAGGGAGCACTTCCTTAACTTTCTAGTCCTGGTTCTTTTTATTAGAAGAACATACTTAGAAGTCAAAGCCCGGGCGCTAGGTATGCTCATTGCTAAATGTGTCCCAGCCTGTAGGTCTCTCAATGGACAGAACAAGTAATTATGTCTGTGTAATGACTCTTACCCATCTGTCCATCCATTCATATCCTAAACAAAAAGGCCATAAATTCATACCGATACTGTCAATTCCATCTAGCACCAGAGAGTTAATTCTAATATGCCCTGCCTTTGGCTACTTGAAACTTCTTTCTCTGATAGTAAGGAATGTGATAGTGAGGTTATCATTAAAATGTACTGACCAATTTGTTCAACTCTAGTATAAAGTTGCTTCAGAATTGCCAACCATACTCTGGTGGGAAATAAATATATCAGCTTGAATACAGTGTGTACACGCAGAGTATCCCATTAAAGCACTGTTTCCCAAAGTTACTTATCTCCTTTCTTCCCCAACCCTTCTGTATGTTTATGTCATTCATCTGTAATATGGTTAGATTCACCTGTCACAGTCTGAAAATCATCTTGGGTTCTCTCTGCACTCTGGGCTGGGATTTGGCAAATGCAATAAAAAGTTCTATGTCAATCACCACAGTAGCCAAAAGAATATTTCCCTCATTTCAAAATCTCCCCAAGCTGCCCCTAAGAGTCAACTCCTCCCTCACCCATCTTAGTAAATACAAATTGGTTTTCCAGATCTAGAGCATGCCAGAAAGAATGCTTTTCAAGAAAGGAATAATACAATATGTAACCTTTTGGTTCTGCCTTCTTTCACTGAGCAAATGTATTTAAGCTTTATCTACACTGCTACATGAACCAAGTTCACGTCTCTTCACTGCTGAGTAGCATTTCATTGTATAGGTGTACCACCGTTTATCCATTCACCTGGTGAATACCATCTGGGTTGTTTCTGTGTTTAGTGAGTAGAAGTGTGATAGTCACAGGTTTCTAGGTAAACTTAAGTTTTTAATTTTGCTTGAGTAAATAACAATAAAATTGCCAAGTCAGGTGATAACAGTATGTTTAACTTTATAGGAAACTATCAAACTTTCCCACAGCGGCTGAACAATTTTGAATCACCTCCAGCATTATACGAGGGTTCCGGTTATTCTACATCCTTGTCAACATATGGTACTGTCAGTTTTTAAAATTATTTTTTAGCCATTCTCATAGGTGTGTGGTAGCATCTCGTGGTCTTGCTTTCTGTCTAATGACCCATGGGGCTCAGCATCTTTTCATGTGCTATCTGCCTACATGTCTTCTTTGGAAAAGTGCTCAGAACTCCTGACAACTTTTTAATTGGAGTCTTTGACTTCATATTGAGTTTTGAAAGAGTTTTCTATATACTGGATACACCTTCATTATTGTATATATAATGTGCAAATATCGTGTCTTTTTATTGTCTTATCAGTGTCTTTCAAAAGGAGTTTTAGATTTTGATAAAACAATCTGTCCTTTCTTCTTTCTTTTGTTCAGTATAGTTAAAAATTTATTAATTTTATTTTTATTAGTTTTTGATTTAATTACCTTTCTCTATTTTTTTTCATATTTATTGATGTCTGGTCTTTATTATTTCTTTTTGCTTACTTTAGACTTAATTTGTTCTTCTTTCTCTTAGTCTTGAGAAGGAAGCTTAGGGTACTGAGCAGAGACCATTCTTCTTTTTCCCATATAAACACTTAATGCTATAAATTTCCCTTTAAGCACTGCTGTAGATATAGTCCACATATTTTATGTTATCTTTTTATTTCATTCAGTTCAAATGTTTTTATTTTTTTGGGACATCCTCTTTGACCTGTGGATTATTTAGACATACAGTATTTAATTTCTAAACATTTGGGAATTTTCTGGTTCTCTTTGTGACTA